CAATAGCTTCTAGGATTTAAACCTACTAGGTAATCTCTGGATCAAAGGGTGTGAACTATTTAGTCACTTTTCTGGCATAATTCTAAATTGTTTTCCATAGTTTCACTAGCAATGAATTAGCATGACTGCCTTTCTATATCCCTAACAACAATGAGTTTTCTAATCTTTTAGCATCTTTGCTAGCTTAATAGGAGTGAAGTGATATCTCAGGGCTGTTTTATTTTATTTATTTATTTTTTTGCATTTTTTGGTGAGGCAATAAGTTAAGTGACTTGCCCAGGGTCACACAGCTGGTAAGTGTCAAGTGTCTGAGGCCAGAATTGAATTCAGGTCCTCTTGACTCCAAAGCCAGAGCTCTATCCACTGTGCCACCTACCTGCCCCTTCAGGGCTGTTTTAAATTATATTTTTTTCTAATTACTAGTGATTTTGAAATTTTTTTTTCAAGGGGCTATTGGTATTTGTTTATTTCTCTCTTGTCTCCTTACTATAGCTAGTATCTTTTTTGTTTAGTCATTTTTCTGTTGTGACTGACCCCATTTGGGATTTTCTTGGCAAGGATACTGGAGTGGTTTGCTATTTCCTTCTCCAGCTTATTTTACAGATGAGGAAACTGAGGCAAATAGGGTTCAGTGACTTGCTCAGGGTCACACAACTAGTAAGTGTCTGAGGCCAGATTTGAACTCAGGAAGATGAGTCTTTCTGACTCCAGGCCTGGAATTCTGTCTACTCTGCCAACCTAGCTGTCCCCAAGCATCTTTAGTAATTTATAAAATAATAATGGAGATAGTGGGCATCCTTGATTTACTACTGATCCTATTGGAAAAGCTTTCAGTGTTTCTCCATACAAATAATGCTGGCTTTCGTGTTTAGATGGATGCTTTTCATCATAGTAAGGAAAAGTTCTTTTATTTGTTGTCTGGCTTTTGAGTGTTTTTACATAATCGAGTGTTCTTCTGTCTGCTGACATGAGCATGCTATTTTTATTATTTTTGTTACTAATAGGATTAATTATGTTTTTAGTATTCCCAGGATTGAACCATCCTTGTATTCTTGGTAAAAATCCAACACGGTCATAATGAATAATTTCAGAAATATATTGTTATAGCCTGTTTGTTGATTTTTTCCATCCTCACATTGCCAAACTTTAAAGCTCTATAAAAATATCAACTATTGTTATTATTAGTGATATCATATTATTAGCTGTAGGTATTATTATTGCTTTATATCTACCCACTTTGATTATCAAGCTGTGTGTGTCTCATAAAAGGAGCTTGGTAAGATACTGGTTTTCTGTGATTTTGCTAACAGTTTATATAGCATAGGAATTGTTTATTTTTTACATATTTGCTATTATTCACTTGTAAATTCTGGGGAGCTCCCAAATTCTCTACCCTTGGACTTTCTGACCCTTCTGAGTATTTCTCAGGGGCCCTCCACTCTTACTTTCTCCAGACACAGAACCTTGTAGTCTACATATGTGTCTGGCCTGTCTCTGGTCACACTGGAAGACAACCCTGCACTTACAATGGCTTGGTTGATGGCTTTCCTTTCCTGTTGCCGTAGGCGTCTGGCTTACTTTTTGTGCAGTCCTAATGTGGAAAAAAAAGTCATTTACTGTAGTTTTTCCATTGTGTTTCTCTTTCATTATTCTGTCTGGTGGGAACTTCAAGATTTTGCTGGAGTAGATAATGGGAACTGGGTGGTCTGCCTCAGATTCAAGAAGCTTCTTTGAGAGTTCCTACTTTGGGGCAGCTAGGTGGTGCAGTGGATAGAGCACCAGCCCTGGAGTCAAGAGGGACCTGAGTTCTAATCCGGTCTGAGACCAGACACTTGACACTTAGTAGCTGTGTGACTGTGGGCAAGTTACTTAACCCCAAATGCCTCACAAAAAAGAGAAGAAAATAGAGAGAGTTCCTACCTATCTTGTAAAGCTCAATTCACATACTACTTCCTTAAGGGGTCTTTCCATGATTCCCCTCATCCTCCATCAATGTGACTCTTTTCCCCCCTCATATTTTAGGTGGCACTTACCTGGACCCCTCTGATGTTATAATGTACTTAGCACTACAGTTATTTGTGTGTGAGCTTTAATCTGGCTTTGGACTATATGCTCTTTGAAAGTAGAGACAGACTCCCCTCTCAACTTTATATCTTACTGGGTCGTTAGCACATTGCTCTACACACACATAGATCAATCAGTGAAGCAATAGACATTTATTAAGCACTTAATATATTCCAGACAAATGTTTGTGGAATTGAAGATCCAGTCCCTGCTGTCAAGGGGCTTGTGAACTAGTTTGGGATTAAAGCATTGACTTTATTTTTGTCTCAGTGCCCATGATTTTTTTTTTATTGCCCCGCAACCAAATGTGAATGACAGGATTCTTCAGACAGTGAAGCGATATCCAATTTGTCCATAAATAAAATGCAAACACCAGAGCCACAGGTCGTCAGTCAAAGCTAGATGAAATGGGCTTGGCTAAAGTGTGGGGCACAGCCATACAAATGTGCCCAGACATGCTGTGCAGCCCTGAATTCAGGTTCCAGGTTATCTCATCCCCCTTCACAGGAAACAGCACCATCCCTAACATCTTCTTTGTGTGGAAAGGATCCTTTGCTACCAGAACAATAAGCCTCCTTACTAGGGCTGGGGAAAGGTGCCTTTGCCTTTAAACCTGAGGTAGTAGTGGAATGGGTTGCCAAGTATAACCTCTTCTGCAAAAAATCCCACACCCTATTATAGGATTCAGCCAATCTGCAGGAATGTGCTTATTCAGGTCTACAGAGCCAACAGGTTTGATCCGTTCCTCCAAGGAGTTCCCATAATACTATGAGAGAGAAGGTTGGCGCTACTAAAGGGGGTCCAAGAAAGATAGCTCAATTCTGCTGATCTTTGAGTTAAGGCACATACATGTGAACATACAAATATATACATTCATGGACATAAACGTGTTTCCTTGTTTGGACATAAACGTGTTTCCTTGTTTGGACGTGGTCCATCATTCACCAAAATATGGAAATGTTTGATTTCCCAAAGAAAAGCCAAGTAGTTATGCAATATGGAAAACCAGTCTACAAATCTTCCCGTTGACAGCATTCCTTTCTATCATTGGAGGACTCTTTGAAGGGTTGAACCTTCCTTAAGGAAATAAGAAATTCTACTTTACTCTACTTCTCCTGACTACTTTGTATCCCAGTTATGTAAAGATTGTGGGAGCTGGCCTGACAGGAAAGGCAGATTAAAGAAAGACTCCCTCTACTCCAGAAGGGTACCCCACAAGGAAATGCCTGCTCTGTACCACAGGGAAGTGTTAACACCATACCAGCATCGATACTTGGCTATAATTCATTCAGTGCAATTCAACAAATATTTGTTAAATTCCTACTACCGTGGTCAGTACAAGGTCTACAAAGACTCCCCCCACTTCCAAAAAAAGGGTCCCCACCTTCAAAGAGCTAATTTTTTTCCTGGAGGGACACCACATATATACAAATAAGTAAATGCAAAATACCCTGGCTCTGCCACTTGTTAGCTTTTTTACACTGAATTTTTGGGGCCTTAGTTTTTTCAGTTATAAAATGAGGAGGGTGAACAAAATGACTTTTGAGGTTCCTCCAATACTCTGGACTTTTTGGTTGTTTCTCATACCTTTATAGAGTCAGTTTGGTATATACATCAACTAAATAACTAGGACAAGAGCAAAAATGGTCTCTGCTCTCAAAAAGCTTACATTCATCTATGGAGAAATTCTGTACAAATACAAATGCAAATACCAAACAAATGAAGGTAGTGACCTGGACTTGGAGTCACTTATAAGTTGTGTGACCCTGGGCAAGTTACTCCCTGCCTCAGTTTCCTTATCTGTAAAACAAAGGGGGGCTGGACTTAATGATGTCTAGGATTTCTTTTAGCTCTAAATCTATGGTCTTATGTAAAGTAATTTCAAAGGTTGTAAAGTCATTCCAAAGGTTTGGGTGGGAGAGAGATGATGCTTTCTGTTGCAGGGATCAGGAAAGGTTTCTTGGAAGAGACAGCCCTTTTACTGAGCCCAGGAGGACACTTAGAGTTCTAAGAGGCATGGACACAAGCTCCTCCCCATGCCTAGAACACCTTCCCTCTTCCCCTCAGCCTCTTGCATCCCCATTTTCTTTCAGAACTCAGCCAAATTGCCGCCTCCTACGTGAAGCCTTTCTCTTTCCCCCTTCCAATGGATAGCTCCTTCCCTCCCCAAACTACATTGTATTTATTGTGTCAGTATTTTCTGTGTACGTATATAGATGTATGTTGTCTCCTCTGTTAGAACGTAAGCTTCTTGAGGGGAGGGACAGTTGGACTTTTGTCTTTGTATCATCAGTGTCTAGAGCAGTGTCTGACACATGGCAGATGTTTAGTAAATGCTTGTCGGTTAGTTAGGGGCAGATGAGCAGAAGGACACAGACAATGTTATGATGAGACAAGATGTGAGCCTTGCTATAAAAAAGATTGTGAACCTGCCTCCCTTCTTTGCAGAAATGGAGGACTACAGCTTGGAACATCAAATAAAATATCAGACTCAAGTAGGTGTGTTGGTTAGTTTTGCTGGACTGTTTTTTTTTCCTCCTTTTTTCTTCTTGGTTTCAAGGCTTGGATTGCTGGGTCAGGGGCAGGGGAAGAGACTTTTTTTAAAAAGATGTTGATATAACAACAAAAATCAATATAATTTTTTTAAAGAAGGAAAAAAAAGGTGGTAAGAGAAGGGATGATTCTCAACTGGGACCTGAAATTCCTGAGCTCACTTACCAGGTTTGCCTTTGAAGTCCTGTGTGGGAAGTAGTCTTCTGGTCTGTCAGATGACCATCCTCACTTCTTTCCCACTGAAAGTCTAGTGTGGTCTCCCTTAGCATTCAGCAATGCTTTGATGTCCAGAGATAGAGAGGGCCGGATTGTTGTTTCTTCTTTCCTGCTCCCACCATTTCCTCTGGGGTCTGGTTAATGCTGTTCTTTTCCTTTGCTTTCAGCCGGCCATGCCAACTCCCCTACCCGTCGATGCAGCAGCACAGCCCCATGTCCTCCCAGGCCTCCTCCATCAGTGGTCCGCTGCATTCAGTCATGCCTCCTCCCCTGCCATTGGCCATGCTGCCCCAGCAGCCTCCGCCTGCCACTCCCCCGGGTCAGCAGCTTGGCCCTGAAGCTTTTGCCATTGTGGAGCGGGCACAGCAGATGGTGGCAATCCTATCTGAGGAGAACCGGGTGCTCCGCCAGGAAATTGAGGGGTATTATGACAAGGCTGACAAGCTTCAGAAGGTATATGTTTGACTTTTTGGGGAAAGGGGAGAGGAAATGTTCTTTGGCATGAGAGTTTCCTCTTAGTGAGATACAGTGTAATGTAATGGAACATTTGGGATGAATCAGATCCTACCTGTGATACTTTTTACCTGTGTACTATTATTGTTGTTTAGTCATTTCAGTTCGACTCTTCATGACCCCTTTTTTTTGGGGGGGGTGTCTTGGCAAAGATGCCAGAGTGGTTTGCCATTTCCTTCTCCAGCTCATTTTATAGCTGAAGAAACAGGCAAAGAGGATTGACTTTCCCAGGGTCACACAGCTAATGTCTAAGGCTGGATTTGAATTTCAGGTCTTCCTGATTCCAGGTGACTGTACCACCTAGCTACCCTTATTACCTGTGTAACTATGAGCAAATCCCTTCACGTCTCTGGATATTAGTTTCCTCATACTGTAAAATGGGGATAATAATACCTGTGATATCTATCTCACTTGGCAGCTGTTGTGAGATAATGAGATGATTTATGGGAAATGTTTTACATACCCTATGCAAATATCAGCCATTATTACTGAAGATGATCAGTTGTTTTTCTAAATACTAGAAACCCAAACCTCTCAAACTTAATAGTTAGTGAGTCCTGAGAGAGTCATCTGGTGCCTAAAGCCTCAAGTTTTCAGTCAGCTGATCTGAAGCAAATTCCTTCTCTCTGTCCCTGGTTCCGTGGATTAACTTTCAGAATTACAGACTATCTGAGCTCAGTGGCATGAGGCTAGAATGTTAGATTTGGAGGAAGGAAGACTCGACGTCAGGTCCTTCCTCTGTCACTTATTAGCTATGTGATCCTGGGCAAATCACTTAATTTTGCTGAGCCTCAGTTTCCCAATCTGTAAAATGGGGGTAATAGCATCTATCTCATGGGGCTATTGGGAGGATTGAAGGAGATGAAATATGTTGAAGTGCTTTGCAAAACTTATATTAGAAGAGACCTTCAGAGATCATTCAGTTCAACCCACAAATTTGAAAGAGGAAAAAGTTACAGACTAGTAGGGTGAGGCGATTTTTCTAGGTTAGCACAGCTAGTAAGTGGTAGAGTTGGACCTCAAACCCAGGTCCAGTGTTCTTTCCACCACACTATAGTTCTTCCCCTAAGCAGTCATTCTACCTAAATGAACCCTCACTTTGTTTTCTTGAGACCAGAGTTCTGGTCTTAAGAATCAAAAAACTTAGATTCAAGTCCCAGTTCAAAGATTCATCAGTTTTAGAATCTTGGGCAAATTACTTAGCCTTCTCAGAGCCTAAGCTACCTCCTCTGTAAAATGGGATGATCATTCTTACACCATGTACCTCTTGGAGTCATGAAGAAACTCTTTGTAAAGCCACAAGTGCTGTATGTGTGTTAGCTCTTCCTGTCTAGTGTGCACCGGTATTTGTAGATTCAGAGAACTGGTGAGCTAGATGGGACCATAGAGACCAAGCCCTTCATTCCCCCCCCCCCAATTCAACACATATTTGTCAGGCACCTGCCATTTGTGAAGTATTGTGCTAGGCACTAGTACCACAAATACAGAAGCTGAAAAGCCCCCACTTTAAGCAGCTTACATTAAAAAAATTAGTTTTTAATATCACCTTCATTTCCAGTTAAATCTACTCCCTCACCCAATGAGCAAAGAATAAAAAAGAAAGAGGGGGGGAAAAGCATTTTATCTCAACCAACCAATACTTCAATCAAGTCTGATAGTATGTACACTGTTCCACACCCATGATCCCCGCATCTGCAAGGAAGGGTTATTTTAGTGAGAAAGAAACCGAGGCCTAGATAAATAAAGTGATTTGCCTAATTTTATGTAGTTCTTTAGTAGCAGAGGGAGAACTAAAAACCAGGTCTCCTAACTCTAATACAGTGTTCTTTTACTTGCCTGAATAAGCCATTGCCAAGCTGGGATTTTACTTTGACACCCTGTGTGCAGTACGTTTTATGTGTTGCAGGTGGAGTTGGAGAAGTAGAGGAAAGACAGAGGTCCAGAATGGTAGGGAGGTGTTGTTTTACAGCTTCAAAGAGGAGAGGCCACTCAGGCTCCTTGAGTTGGGGACTGACCTTATGGAGATGACTGTGAGGTAATCAAACAGACCTAAGAGTCTTACTGAGAGCCTGCCTTTGGCTTAGGAAGAAAAATAAAGGACATTTGTAACTAGAGACAAGGACGGAGGCCAATATAGGTTACAGTTTTTAAGAGCTATTGTCAAATGGGAGCCTTGACAGTTAATTCATTTAACTGGCCCTTTTCTTTCCCTGCTGGACATTTATTTCACACTTGGACCGCAGGGGAAGTACTGAACTTGTATTGATTGAAGCAGATTGTTTCTTTCTGATCAGGACTTCCACAGAAGAGCCGTGTGTGTGCTGAGTGCCCTCAGATGCCTCATACTAAGAGTCTGGAGCTTTCCCCATGATTGATGGTCTAGTCTAGGCATTCCTAGCCCATGTATGCACTTTTCATGCTCATATGGGTATGACTGTTATGGTGTCTGGGATTTCCACACGAGTGTGGTGGGGCCAGGCTTGGCTCCAGTAACTGTGGCTAGCTTTGGTTGGAGGGAAGAGGAAGGCATTATTGATCCAGAGGCAAATATGGACCATCAGAGAACAGTAACATCCCTTAGATGTAGTCATGTGGCACTCTAAATGCTGTTGCTGTCACATGATTTTTGGTCAACCCCCTCTTCAGGCCTTAGCTTGCCTCTGAAAACTCTTGGGGTAGGGCCTTTATTTAATATGGCCCAAGATTAGTGAAGGACTGACTCAGCCTTTTCCAGGAAACAAGTATTTTTTTCTTTCCCCTAATAACAATTTTTGGCACATAGGCCTTGCATAGACCCATCAGAAGGTAAAATCTGCCTGGATCTTTTGACATGGAATGTGGTTGAATGATTATAGGGAGGGACCAGGTGTTGAGAGAGCTGCACACTATTTCTTCCGTGGTCTATGACTCACAGTACAAGCCTGAGCAAGTCACTTAACTTCTTGGTGACTCAGTTTCCCTATACAGGGCAATGGGACAAATGTTGGTAAGAGGGTTTTGAAAGCCTTGGCTGATAAATATGTTGTCTAGTCAGTCTGGTGTAGTGGAAAGAACATGGGATTTGGTATCAGATCACCTGGTTTTGAATCTCAGCCCTAAGACTTACTTAGCTTTTACCTTAGGCAAGTAAGTCCCTTCCCCTTTCTGAGTCTTAGGTCCCTAAATTCTAAGTTAAGGGGGTTAACTCGATGATCACTAAGGCTTTTTCTAGTTCTTGATTCCTATGAAATAATTAAATTCTTTTGTTGTATCTCCCAAGCTTTCTCAGCCTCTTGCTTGCTCCAAATGCCTGTATTTCATTGACTTGGCAAATGGGCTAAAATGAATTTTAAAAGTCAAGTTTTGACTTGTCCTTGGCCTAGTATTGTTGCTATCAGCAGCTGTAGCCCAGAGGCTCTGTAGCTCTTCCTAGCCAGTCATTTAAGTAGCTTCCAATGGATTGAAATCATTCGAGTTCCACCCCTTCGCCTTTCAGAAATGCATGAGAGGTGTTGTACTGAAAGTCACGGGGTCATAGATGTAGAGCTGAAAGGGATCTTATACACTGAATCCAACACCTTCATTTTACTGGTGAAGGAACTGAGGCCCAGAAAGGTTAAATTAGAATGCTAATTAGCGTCTAAAGTTCTTTCTGACTCTAAGACCAGCACTCTAGCTGTACAATCAAGTGTAGGCTTAGTAGACCACAGAATTTATCTGGAGAGTCTCAAGTAGGAGTTTGTAATTCGAATAGGAAGGTGGAGACAGAAGGGGAAAGAAGGAGGAAGGGCAGTTTGGGGGAGGAACATGAGTAGTTTAGTTTTGGACATGTTGAGGTTGAGGGTGCCATTGGAATATCCAAGGAGGAATTTGGAAATCACAGAATCTGGTCCAACCTGTACTGGAAGAAGTGTTTTCTTCACAGCACCCCAAGAAATAGTCCTCCATTTTCCCCTTGAAGATCTCCAGTGAAGAGGAGCCTTTTACCCTCTGAGGCAGCTCATTTTATTTCTGCTACCTACTGATGTGAAGATTAATTTAGAGAACACCAGGATCTTCCTAGAAGAGATCCACTATGTCTCTGAGACTTCTAGTCAAACAGTGGCAAACTGTTGACTGTTTGGACCAAGATGATCATCCTTCCAACTCCTCATCTTATCCATTTTCTATAGGTGACATGCCATAAAATGGCTTTAAGGACATGTGTAAGCTCTCTGGCTCCATTATTGTTAAGGAGCTCTGTTCAGTTTCTAATTAGTTAGGAAAGCTATGAATCATATTACATCCAGATTAACTAGGAAGAGGCAGCCTAGTGTGGTAGATAGGGCACTGGAACTGTAGTCAGGAGGAAATAGTTTCAAATCCTACCTCATACACTTAGCTGTGAACCTGAGTAAGTCACCTAACAATTCTGCCTATGCTTAAAACCTGTGTTTTGTCATCTGTAAAATGAGGGGGATGGACTCAGTGACTTCTAAGGTTCCTTTGACCTCTAAATCTGTGATTCTATGAGATGGGGGAGGCGAAGGAGAGTTAAATACTCTTTGTTCTGGAAGTATTTGAAATATGATCTTGAATAAATATTGACAACCCCTCCAAAAAAAACCAACAAAAAACCAAACACTAGACATGACTAGTTGAGTTAGGAGAGACTCTCTGAAAGTTGAATTCAGTGGAAGATATTATTCCAATTGTGTTCCATCACATAGAAAAGAAAAAAAAAAGAATACTGAAATGCAGCACCCAGATCATTCCAAGTTCATAAAAGACACTCCTTTTCCTCCCAATGTCCTGTGGTTGAGTTTTTTTTTTTCCTGCCCCAACCTAGTCCACAGGATTCCCAAGAGATTTTTATTAGAACTGCATTTTATATGCAGGCCAAAATTATGATTAGCACTGAATTCTGCAAATTGCAAAATGAACTTGATCTATGAAAATGTACTAAGTTTGAATTCTTTTAG